GTTTGTGTACTCAGACCAGTAATATTTGGGGTCACAAGTTTTTGCCATGGATATTTTGTGGGTCAGAAGATAAAAAGTTTGGGAACCACTGCCTTAGATGTTTGGTAGAACATAGATCTTTGTTTATTTAATTGTTGATATGAAGACTTTTACCACATTTTGTGTCAATTATTACATAATGCGGTTTTAGTGCTGCTTTATTACATGTTGAAGCCTGATTTTATTACATTATTACATATTGCGGAGTTATTACACAATGTGACATTACAGAGTGTCACCCTTTTCAGATAACTTTGTCATTGCTCACAGTTTTAAATTGTCTGTTTATATCTGCATTGGGGTATACATACAGTATATGTTCAGTAAGTATTTCAGTCTGTTTTCTTTCTCTTAGAATTATAATCATGAGTGTTGCWGAATAGTATACCAACTGTGAAGACAGTTTGCTTTCATATAATCAGTTCTAAAAAAAATATTAAATTGTGCTGAACACCAACAACAAAAAAAGCTCCTGACCTGAGAGTTTCCAGAAGACAGAGTGGACTCTTCAGTTCAACAGAGAGCAGCTGAATTCTTGAATCTGTGAGATTGGTGGTACTCAGGTCCAGTTCTTTGAGGCTGGAGGAGTGGGAGCTGAGAACTGAGGACAGAACTTCACAGCTTTTCTTTGAGAGTCTCCACACACTCAGTCTAAAGAGATATGTAGGAAAAACAAATTAAAAACTAAAACGCAGCCAAAAACATAAAACCCACTGCATTTTCAAAGAAAATGCTTGTGAATGCTGAAATTGGCTAAAGAAACTGATACTACATTGTTAAAACTAAAGAAATCAGAACACAAGCTAGAAGCTAAAGATAAAGGAAAACGAAGTTACATAAAAACAAGAAAATTAACAAAACCTATAAGAAGCTAAAAGTTAGTTCAAAATCAAATGTTGCAATACGGTTAAAGGCTAAAAGTAGTAAAATGTTACCTAAAAGTATTAAATAATTAAATAAGATCCTACATTGGCAAACAGCTCAAAARTAGAAGTAGCAAAAACAGATAGCTAAAAGTTAAAAGTAGGAACACAGTTGTTTGTTATTTGTGTGATCATTTAATAATAATAATTTATCATAGTAAATTATCAGTAAATATCATGAGGAGTCATGAACATTAAGTTGTAACCACGTAMTTAAATATTCACATATATGTAAATTTCTTACTGTTGTAAATGAAGTTGAGCTGTGTAAATCTTTGTTTTCATCGAACAAGTAGCTCTTTGTGTTAAAAGTTGGTGACTCCTGTCCTACAACCATACTCACCATATTATTCATCATTCTGGCTTTTGGTTTTCGAGATTAGAACAGACATTTAATGCTGGTGCTACAACTTTTTGTTCAGTGCTATAAAACCAGCAACCTCTGTAGCACCGGTGCTATGAGCTAAAAAAAAGTTAACGTACAGCCCTGCATGACATTAGAGGATTAGCAATACMTTGGGTATGTATGTAGTTATTTGAAAAATAGTAAACAGTTTGTACAGGCAAATAACGTAAAATCTGAATTCTGTAATCTTACATGTGGAGTTCCTCAGGGTTGTGTGCTTGGGCCAAAGTTGTTGTTTTTTACATGAATGATTTGGTTGCAGTATCAGGGCTTTTGAACTGTTTTTACTAATTTATAGATGACAACATATTTTTTGTTTGGGTGAAGGTATTAAATGTYTATTGGAGARGATACAGGCAGAATAAGTGAAAATACAAACCTGGGTTGAACCTAATATCATCATTAAATTTGGATGAAACAAACTATGTGATATTTGTTGACAAAGCAGTCTATTAATGTTCCATTTAGAGTTGATGATTTAGAGATTTATAGAGTGAGTGAGGTGAKGTTTCTGGGTGTCATCACTGATGAAAAGCTGATATTGAAATTTTATATAAATTACTTAAAAATAAAATAACTAAATCAATTGTATTGCTGTATAAAGTAAACAATATAATGAATGATAAAGATAAACATATGAAATATGTTGTATAATGCAACGATTGTTACATATATAAGAAGGTGGCCATTTAGCTTATCAAATAAGACCAAAATTGTCTCAGAACATAACCTGAGAGTTTCCAGTTGACAGTGTGAACTTGTCAGCCCAACAGACAACATCTGGATTCCAGAATTTGTCAGGTTGTTGTTACTTAGATCGAGTTCCTTGAGACTGGAAGACTGGGAGCTGAAAACTGAAGTAAGAACCTCACAGCTTCTCTCTGATGGGTTACAGTAATTCAGTCTAAAAGGAAGGTTGGAACAAAACATATAAGCAAATAAAAAACTGTGATCATTACTAAACAGATCTCATGTTCAAAATGAAACTGACAAACCAAATAGTAGAAAAATCTGATAGAGCATGAGAGAAAACTGACCTGAGTGTTTCTATTTTYCAGTTTGGACTCTGCAYTCCATCAGCCAGAGGCTCCACMCCYGAATCATCAATTCTCAGGTCTAGTTCTCTTAAACTGGAGGACTGGGAGCTGAGAACTGAGGACAGAGCTTCACAGGTTTTGTTGCTGAGGGTACATACACTCAGTCTGAAGAGGAAATTAGACAAGAAGGAATGTGCAACTTTATTTCCTGTCAAGTTAACAGTAATGTATTTAAAAACATCCCACAGTATCTGTACTTACAGAGCTTTGTTGGAGGCTTTGACCACTGGCAGCAGCCTCAGAAGAACCTCCTCTGAAGCAGAATATTTRTTCAGYTCAAACACATCCAGATCTTTTCTTGATGACAGTAGGATGAAGACCAGAGCTGACCACTGAGCAGGAGACAAATCATCTGTGGAGAGACTTCCTGACCTCAGTGACTGTTGGATCTCCTCCACTAGAGAACAATCATTCAGTTCATTCAGACAGTGGAACAGATTGATGCTTTTCTCTGCAGACAGAGTTTTATTGATCAGATTCTTGATGTACTGGATTGTTTCCTMATTGGTTTGTGAGCTACTTCCTGTCTGTGTCAGCAGGCCTCGTAGGCGAGTCTGATTGGTCGGCAGTGAAAGACCCAGGAGAAACCGGAGGAACAAGTCCAGGTGTCCATTTGGACTCTGTAAGGCCTTGTCCACAGCACACTGATGGAGATAATTCAATTTTGAATTATTAAAAAATTTGGACCAAAAAGAAGTTTGTTGGTTTTCTTCCATCAGGTTGACTCCAGAGTTAATGAAGGTTAGATGGACATGAAGAGCAGCCAAAAACTCCTGAACACTCAGYTGGACAAAGCAGAACACCTTGTCCTGGTACAGACCTCTCTCCTCTTTAAAGATCTGGGTGAACACTCCTGAYTAAACTGAAGCTGCTCTGATATCGATGCCACACTCTGTCAGGTCTGATTCATAGAAGATCAGGTTTCCTTTCTGCAGCTGCTCAAAAGCCAGTTTTCCCAGAGACTCTACCATCTTCCTGGTGTCTGGACTCCAGTGTGGATCTGTCTCAGCTCCTCCATCATACTTGATCTTCTTTACTTTGATCTGAACCAGAAGGAAGTGGATGTACATCTCAGTCAGGGTGTTGGGCATGTCTCCTCCCTCTCTGGTCTTCAACACATGGTCCAGAACTGTAGCAGTGATCCAGCAGAAGACTGGAATGTGGCACATGATGTGGAGGCTTCGTGATGTCTTGATGTCAGAGATGATCTTTTTGACCTGGTTATTATCTCTGAACTTCTTCCTGAAGTACTCCTCCTTCTGTGGGTCAGTGAATCCTCTGACCTCTGTCACCATGCCAACACAGTCAGCTGGTATCTGATTGGCTGCTGCAGGTCGTGTGGTTATCCAGAGCCTAGCAGAGGGAAGCAGGTTCCCCTTGATGAGGTTTGTCAGCAGAACATCCATTGAGGTGGACTCTGTGACATCAGTCAGGACCTGGTTCCTCTGGAAGTCCAGAGGAAGTCGACACTCATCCAGACCATCAAAGATGAAGACCAGCTGGAAGTTTTCAAATCTGCATATTTCTTTGGTTTCAGTAAAGAAGTGATGAACAAGTTCCACCAAGCTGAACTTTTTCTCTTTCAGTACATTTAGCTGTCTGAAAGTGAACGGAAACATGAACTGGATGTCCTGGTTTGTTTTGCCTTCAGCCCAGTCCAGAGTGAATTTCTGTGTTAAGACTGTTTTCCCAATGCCAGCCACTCCCTTTGTCATCACTGTTCTGATTGGTTCATTTCTTCCAGGTGGGAGTTTAAAGATGTCTTCTTGTCTGATGGTTGTTTCTGGTCTGTGTGATTTCCTGGATGCTGTTTCAATCTGTCTGACCTCATGTTCACCATTGACCTCTTCAGTTCCTCCCTCTGTGATGTAGAGCTCTGTGTAAAACTCATTCAGAAGGGTAGGGTTTCCTGCTTTAGCGATCCCTTCAAACACACACTGAAACTTCTTTTTCAAAGATGATTTACATTTTTGTTGACAAAGTGCTGTGAAATATTGAAATAAGCACAAGGTTATTAATAAAATATATTGTTGTAGACAATCAGTTTTCAAATTTATGTTGTATCATGATCCATCAAAAACTATTAGGTATTCATAAAGTGTTTTTAGAAATCCTCTTACTGCTCTGCAGACGGTCAGCCAGCTCCTCCTGCTTCATAATTCTCAGGAAGTAAAGTGAGATCTTCATCAATGCCTCTCTGTTTTTCTTCTGCTCTTCATCCTCACCCTCCATTTCCTCACCCTCCCTCTGACTCTCTAAGCATTCTGAGTAATCTGGACTCAGAACCTTCTGGATCTTTTTCAGCTCATTCTTCACAAAAGTGAGCATGTTGTCCTCCAGCACCTGGAACAGAAAAATATCTGAATGAGACATCAGATTCATGTTAAAATCTATGTTGAGCAGACAAGTCAAAATGTTGGACAGGTAGTCCATTGGTCCACATGCTGGTCACAAAGGTAGTCCACTGGTCTACATGTTGGATAGAAAGACAGTTAGCTGGTAAACACTTTGGACACACTGATGGTGCACTGGTCTACATGTTAGACAGACTGACAGTCCAATGGTCTACAGACTGACAGTCCACAGTTCTAAATGTTGGACAAAAGTCCACTGGTCAACATGTAGACAGACTGACAGTCCACTGGTCTACAGACTGATAGTCCACATTTCTAAATGTTGGACAAAAGTCCACTGGTCAACATGTAGACAGACTGACAGTCCACTGGTCTACAGACTGATAGTCCACATTTCTAAATGTTGGACAAAAGTCCACTGGTCAACATGTAGACAGACTGACAGTCCACTGGTCTACAGACTGATAGTCCACATTTCTAAATGTTGGACAAAAGTCCACTGGTCAACATGTAGACAGACTGACAGTCCACTGGTCTACAGACTGATAGTCCACATTTCTAAATGTTGGACAAAAGTCCACTGGTCAACATGTAGACAGACTGACAGTCCACTGGTCTACAGACTGATAGTCCACATTTCTAAATGTTGGACAAAAGTCCACTGGTCAACATGTAGA